GAAACCACAACAGGATAGAACTTCATGTCTATTAGAATGGCTAAAATGAAAAATAGTGACACTACCAAATGCTGGTAAGGATGCAGAGAAACGATCTCTCCCACAATGCTGGTGAGAATGTAAAATGGCACAGCCAGTCTTCTTGTAGAACAACTTGGAGGTTTCTTGTTTTTTTTTTTTTTTTAATGAAACAAACATATTCTTACCATACAACCCTGCAGTCACACTTTTGAAAATTTATGCCAGAGAAATGAAAACTTATTTTCACATAGAAACCTATACACAGGTGTTCGCAGCAGCTTTATTTGTAATAGTCAAAAACTGGAAATAACCCAAGTGTCTTATAACATGTGAATGGATAAACAAATTATGTTATATCTATATATTGGAATAGTGCTCAGCAATAAAAAGGAATGAACTACTGATACTGATCCATAGAACTTGGATGAATCTCAAGGGCATTATGCTGAATGAAAAATGCCATTTTGAAAGGTTACATACTATATAATTCCTTTCATATGGCATTCTTAATGTGACAGAATTATAGTGATGGAGAACAGATAAGTGGTTGCCAGAGATTAGGGTTGGTGGGGGGAAGGTGTGAATACTAGGCGATAACACAAAAGAGGTTTTTTTGTGGTGATGGAACAGTTTTGTGCCCTGCTTGTGGTAATGGTTGCATGAGTCTACAAACATGATAAATTTCATAGAGCTATACACCAAACAGAAAAGCATTTATAAAAACTGTTGAAATCAAATAAGCCTGAGTTCACAGTATTGTACCAACATCAGTTTCCTGGTTTTGACAATGTACTCTAGTTATGTAAGTTAGTGCCATTAGGGAGAGCTGGATGAAGGGTACATGGGAACTCTATACTACTGTTACAAATTCTTGTGAACCTTAAGCTAATTTTTTTAAAGGTTACAATAATGACAGGTAATACCATGAGTTATCTCAAGGATCTAGAACAGTTGGAACTCTCACACACTGCTGGTGGGAAGGTAAATTGGAATGACCACTTTGGGGAACTATTTGTTCAGCTTTAACAGTGCTATATATATACCCTCTGACCCAGCAGTTCTATTCTTGGGTATATACCTAACAGAAATGCTTACATGTCTTTACCAAAACACATACCCAGAAGTTTTATAGCAGCATTATTCAAATAGTTCATATTTTAATTGTGTTTGAGTGTATATTTTAATAGTATTAGGAAAATCTAAAAATATCCTGATTAGCTTATCTCAGTATGGATTACATATTCTGTACTGAATAATATTAAAGGTTAAATAGTTAATAAAATAATTCTTAATACTCATTTACTTAACTTTGTTTCTTTATTTTTATAAAATAATTCTTAATACTCATTTACTTGACTTTGTTTCTTTATTTTTCTTTTGGGCACAAAATTAAAGTTTTGTTTCCCACTTTATGTGCTTTTAAAAACCAGAATATGTCATTGATCACATCAATACCGTGTAAATCAATACCTCCATTATTGTAAATTAGACTGCATATGTTTTATATGTTTTTTGTCTCATAGTTGCACTCCTTTAGTGCAGTGAATGGGTATTTTTTCATCTTTTGTAGTAGCAGTCTAGTTCAGTACTTGGATGCATAGCAGTTTGATAAACATGCTTATTCATGAAATTACAGAAAATAAGGCTTGGTGAAACCTTAGGAAATATACCATAATTTGAAAGGAAGTTGTTTCTGGGGAATGGAACTGAGTAGTTTTTTTTTCTTTAAATTTGTTTATATTTTCAAAAAATGTTACATAAAATCTTTCTAAGTTAGTTTTATTTATATCAAAGTAATATATTTACATATTTTTAAAAAACGGTTCTATAAGGCTTGAGATCAAAACCAGTCCCTTGGGCGCCTGGGTGGCTCAGTTGGTTAAGCGACTGCCTTCGGCTCAGGTCATGATCCTGGAGTCCCTGGATTGAGTCCCGCATCGGGCTCCCTGCTCAGCAGGGAGTCTGCTTCTCCCTCTGACCCTCCCCCCTCTCATGTGCTCTCTCTCTCATTCTCTCTCTCTCAAATAAATAAATAAAATCTTTAAAAAAAAAAAACCAGTCCCTTGACCAGCCCCTTCCTATACATGATATCTGACTTGCTCCAGGTAACAGATTTCAACTCTTGGCAATTCTTCTGGTATTTACTTTCTAAAATCTAAGGTGGGAATTTACCTACATGCACACACATACTTTTCCTAATATATTTCCCCAACATGTTTTTGTAGTATTTGCCTAACTCAATTTGGAGTGTTTGCTTTATTGTGACTGTGTAAATATTCACACATAAACCATTTATAATACTGTGATTACTTTTCCCTTTTTTATGCACATGGTTCATTTTGTTCAATTAATGGTTTATTTTTTAACATTTGCTTAGTTTTCTATGAACCTGTCAACTAATTCATTCCCAAATTCTCAGAAATACAAATTCTTGTGTTAAAAGACAGCATGTAATCTATCAGTTTCTTTCTTTTTTTAATTTATTTTTTAGGTTTTTATTTAAATTCTGAATGGAGCACTGGGTGTTATACACAAACAATGAATCAATGAACACTACATCAAAAACTAATGATGTAATGTATGGTGATTAATATAACATAATAAAATAAAATAAATTCTGTTAGTTAACATATAGTGTAATTTTGGTTTCAAGAGTAGAAATTAATAATTCATCACTTACATATAACACCCAGTGCTCATCACAAATGCCCTCCTTAATACCCATCACCCATTTAACCCCTCCCCTCCCCATGTCCCCTCCAGCAGCCCTCACTTTGTTTTCTATAGTTAAGAGTCTGTTACGGTTTGCCTCCCTCTCTGTTTTTCATCTTCCCCTGTGTTCATCTGTTTTGTTTCTTTAGTTCCAAAAATGAGTGAAATCATATGGTATTTGTCTTTCTCTGACTGACTTATTTCGCTTAGCATAATACACTGTAGTTCCATCCACATCATTGCAAATGGTAAGATTTCATTCTTTTTGATGGCTGAGTAGTATTCCACTGTGTGTGTGTGTGTGTGTGTGTGTGTGTGTCTGTGTGTGTGTACACACACCACATCTTTTTTATCCATTCATCAGTCATTGGACATCTGGGCTCTTTCCATATTTTGGCTATTGTGGACATTGCTGTTACAAACATTGGGGTGCATGTGCCCCTTTGAATCAGTATTTTTATATCCTTTGGCTAAATACCTAGTAGTGCAATTGCTGGGTCATAGGGTAGTTCTATTTTTAACTTTTTGAGGAACCCCCCATACTGTTTTCCAGAGTGGCTGCACCAGTTTGCATTCCCACCAGCAGCGTAAGAGGGTTCCCCTTTCTCTACATCCTCCCCAACATCTGTCATTTCCTGTGTTAATTTTAGTCATTCTGACCCATGTGAGGTAGTATCTCATTGTGGTTTTGATTTATATTTCCCTGATGATGAGTGATGTTGAGCATCTTTTCATGTGTCTGTTAGCTATTTGTATGTCTTCTTTGGAAAAATGTTTTTTCATGTCTTCTGCCCATTTCTTAACTAGATTATTTGTTTTTTGGGTATTGAGTTTGATAAGTTCTTTATAGATTTTGGATACTAGCCCTTTATCTGATATGTCATTTGCAAATATCTTCTCCCATTCTGTTGTCTTTTGGTTTTATTGACTGTTTCCTTTGCTGTGCCAAAGCTTTTTATCTTGATGAAGTCCCAGTAGTTCATTTTTGCCCTTGCTTCCCTTGCCTTTGGCAGTGTTTCTAGGAAGAAGTTGCTGCAGCTGAGGTCAAAGAGGTTGCTGCCTGTGTTCTCCTTTAGGATTTTGATGGACTCCTGTCTCACATTTAGGTCTTTCAACCATTTGGAGTCTATTTTTGTGTGTGGTGTAAGGAAATGGTCCAGTTTCATTCTTCTCCATGTGGCTGTCCAGTTTTCCCAACTCCCATTTGTTGAAGAGACTTTTTTCCACTGGATATTCTTTTCCTGCTTTGTCAAAGATTCGTTGACCATAGAGTTGAGGGTCCATTTCTGGGTTTTCTGTTCTGTTCCATTGATGAATGTGTCTGTTTTTGTGCCAGTAGCATACTGTCTTGATCACTACCGCTTTGTCATATAGCTTGAAGTCTGGAATTATGATGCCACCAGCTTTACTTTTCTTTTTCAAGAATGCCTTGGCTATTCGGGGTCTTTTGTGGTTCCATACAAATTTTAAGATTGTTTGTTCTAGCTCTGTGGAAAATGCCTGTAGTATTTTGATAAGGATTGCACTAAATGTAGATTGTAGATTGCTTTGCATAGTATAGACATTTTAACAGGATTTGTTCTTCCTATCCATGAGTATGGAATGTTTTTCCATTTCTTTGTGTCCTCTTCAGTTTCTTTCATAAGCATTCAGTAGTTTTTAGAGTACAGATCTTTTACCTCTTTGGTTAGGTTTATTCCTAGGTATCTTATGGTTTTTGGTCTTTTTTCTTTCTTTTTTTTTAACACATCCTTCCTGGAGCCCTCTGTCTTCTTGATTCGATTTTAACTACTTTAGTACCTTGCATCTGTCTAACTTCTCTCCCTATGTTTATTACACTATATTATAATTGGCTATCATTCACCCCTACTACACTTAGGCCCTTGCACACTGTCCTTCATTTTGATGTACTTAATACTTGCTCATAACAGTACTGAACACAGTATGGACTTTTGTGTTATACATGGATTTTCTACATTTACTGAGAATCTGTATATACCTTGAATACTTTGTAAACATGTGCTTTCCATATATATCTTTATTCCTAAATCAGATTCTTTCATTTTCCAGCAATAAGATTCTTCCTGCACATATAAATCATCAACCTGACTCCTTAGACATGTCTTGTTTTCTTCAGTAAGTGAGAAATGAATTCTTTGAGCTCCTGATTGTTCAAAAAACTGCCTTAGGATTAAAAAGTCATATCATGATGAAAATATCTATGAAGCACTTATTACTAAAGCATTTATGCATGTTTTTATTTTCAGAGGACGATTATTTATCATTTCCACCAAAGCAGGATCTCTTGGAATTAATCTGGTAGCTGCTAATCGAGTGATTATATTTGATGCTTCTTGGAATCCGTCTTATGACATCCAGAGTATATTCCGAGTTTATCGCTTTGGACAAACTAAACCTGTGTATGTATATAGGTTCTTAGCTCAGGTAGGTTTACAGTTTATATTCTCTTTTTCATAGTGAAAGGTTGGGTGAAATTGATAATGTTTTTGGAGTGCCAAACATATATGCATATAGAGAAGCAAATGAAACTGAAAACTTCAACCCTAAGACTATCATAAAGCAGCAGAAGTCAATTTTGGCCTCTCATGATTTTCTGTTTTGTAGTTCATCCATGTCTATAATGTCAACTTTCTCAGATTGAGATGGATTTGCATGGGTAAACAGATTTAGAATTTTCTTGCTTGTTCAGGAAAGTTAAACATTTATAGTTCTTTTACTTAGCATACATAGAAAAGCAAATAAGTTAATCTAATTTGCTTATAGATGTAAAGGTCAAATGATCATTGTTTTTAGTCGCTACCAGATACTCTCTTAATTTGAAAAATATGGGGAAATAGGAAGGAAAAATTAACTTATAATGACAAAAAAATCATTACAAAGGGTATTTAATACTTTCTAGGAAAAGAATATTAAAGTCATTTCCTTTAAATATAAACACATATTAATAAACCAACTGAAATTTAAGAAAAATGAGTAAAATCAAAGAGGTGGATGCAATATAAGGTAATACAGGTTTATAGAATCAAGTTGCCTTTTTACTGGTACATCTGTTTTGGGAACAGATGGGATTCTCTCCACCTGCCTCCAAATCTGGGCTTCTGAACCAGAGACTGAGTTTTATTGGTAGATCGATCCTTGCTCATTTGATCTTCTTTAGTACTTAATATAATTGGCAAACTGCAGTGTAACCCCTTTCCTGTCATTTAAATTAAAAGCTCTTTTACATTCTGGCTGAAAATGATATATATGTAATAGTTATGGCATTTTATTTGTTAATTTTCTGTCCTGAAATTATAGAAAGTAAGACTTGATAGAAAGGCTGTTTATAGTGATTATTGAGAGCTTATTATATTCCACTGAGAAGGAATTAAACTGCTCTCTTGAATTATTTTTATAACCCTCTAAAATCTTATTTCATATACTTCTTTATTTCTGTTCACCTTGGTGTCTAACTACTCTTCTACTTCCACTAAGTACAGAAATATATAAAGCAAAACCTGAATGTATAATACAGGATGATTATCAGTAATGTACTTTTGTTTTCAAGGTAAACTATGGTGAACAGATGAAATCTCTCATGAATTAAGCAGCATTGCTAATAAAACTTGCTTTATGGCAGTATATTACTATGAAGTTTTGCTATTTTATATTAACCAATAATTATATTTCTCCTTGATTAAGTTTCATGTGTACAAAATTTATTTATATATTGTTCCTTCTTTTTACAAAGGGAACCATGGAAGATAAGATTTATGATCGGCAAGTAACTAAGCAGTCACTGTCTTTTCGAGTTGTTGATCAGCAGCAGGTTGAGCGTCATTTTACCATGAATGAGCTTACTGAACTTTATACTTTTGAGCCAGACTTATTAGATGACCCTAATTCAGAAAAAAAGAAGAAGAGGGATACTCCCATGCTGCCAAAGGTAAATATCTTTAGATTATTAGCTTTAAAAAAAACCTACCATGGACCAAAGATATTTTACTATTACGGTGAAAGTTAGTCATTTGACTAAGGCTGTATTTCAGAATTTTCCAAAGAGAATAAAATTGTATTTCAATGAGAGGGTGCTTGGTCAGTTCTCCACAAAACACCACAAAAAGATAATGTAATCTGAAATACGTATTTTATGACAAGTAAAAGTTCAGCCCTGTAGAAAAAACTTTCTGAGTAGAAACCTTAAAGGAAACAGTATGTTTCTCTTTTAATAATCTCCAGTAGAGGGCATACATAATTTTAATATTTCTATATGAAATTTAAGTATCTCTTCCTTAACATTCTTTGCTGTCATATAGCAGTTAAGAATCAGCAAATAGAAGTGTCTCTTGATATTTTTCACTGTCACAAAGCAAGTTAGACTTTCACACTTGGAAAAGGATGCTTAGAGGTAATCTTGTCAAGCCCTCATATTTTATATAAGTAGGGAAACCTAGGGTCAGAGATATTCAATGACTTGCTCATAATGTCCAGCTAATAAGTGGCAGAGTCAGGAGTAGTATCTATATCTGTCTTCTGGTCCATTGTTCTTGGATTTTAAAAAAGACATTATTTAGATTAGTATAGAAATTTATTATGATAGTAGATATAATTTTGACCTTTTTAAACATAAGAGAAAGCCATATGTTCTCTGGTCTAAAATAATGATCTAAATATATTTAAACCCATTCTAGTTAATCTAAAAAGCCATTTTAGGGAGAATTGTTGGGGGGTTGCTTTTCTTGTTGTCTTGGCTTCAAATTCAAGCACTTAATGTTCTATGTAGCTGTTAAGAGAATTGGAAAAGCAGCCACCTGGTAATGGTGTCACTCTACCAAAGCTACTTTAGTCATTTGTTTAAAAAACAAAAACAAAAAACCCCCAAACCTCCTAAGTATCTTAGTTCTTCATATGGTTGGACACATTTAATTAAAGCAAAAGGTAATAGTAATAAATATCTAATGCTAACATAAATCAGTGATTTCTCCAGTTAACTTTTAATGTACATGTCAATTCAAGTAACATGAACATTAAACATCTGGAAATTTTTTAAAAATGTCTTTGTCTATATAAAAAATATTTTGTTTTTCTAATCAGTGAACTATTCTTCCATTTAAAGTTTACTGATAGAGCATCTAAGAAAAAAGATTTTGTGATAACCTCTATCAAATCCCTTTGATAAATGGCTTAGGGCCACATGGGGGTTTAAATCTACTGTGTATGTTACATTTAAAACACTTCTTTAAAGAATATCGTTTCATTTTAATGTTATGAAATATTAAATTGATAGTGATTTGGCTTTCTTAATTATGTTATAGAATGTGAATAGGATCTTGAATACTTTGGAAAATTTTCTGTATGTAAATTTGTATACCTTTAAAAACATACAAACACAAATGGAATCATATCATATATACTCTTCTGCAACTTGTTCTTTTTACCTAGATGTTTCTTGAACATCTTTCCATATTGGTACATATACTTCTGCTTTTTTAAAAACAACTGCATAGTGTTCACTTGCCTTGATTTAATTCTTGTATCCCCAACAGCTTTCTTACTAGTTACTTAATTCTGTATGGCAAGAAGTATTCTTTAAAGGACTTGGACATATGTTTATGTTTATAATTTTAAAGATAGTGAAGTTTCCCTTTTCAATTTGTGAATGATTTTTATCTAATTAACATCTTTCCTAAAATTATACTTTAAGCTTCAATTTTTATAAGAAATACATCATGCTTAGTAATATTTCTGATAGGAAGCAAACATTCCACATTAAAAGGGGGCAGTTGCTTTGAAGTTATTCGTTATATGGTAAATTTCTGATTTTAGGAATTATTTGTTTACTTTGATAAACATTTATCGATTATTTGCTGACTTTGAGGTGTACTGTGAGGGTATACTAAGAACAACAAGACATTGTGCTTTAAAGAAGATTTTAAAAATCCAGCAGGAAAAGAAATGCTATTTAATTGTTCTAGGATGTCTGGAAAGAAACCATCTGTTTTATAACTTGGTATTCTGAGTTGTTAAAGGTGTCATGCTTTTTCATTTATAGACTTTACTTACTGTATTTTGCTTCTGGTGCTATAACCCTTTGCCCAAGAACAAAAAGGAAAAGGAATATTGAATACTACATTAACACAAAGTGCTTCAACTCTCCCACAACTTTCCCCAAAAGGAAAATAATAAAATAAATATAAAAATAAAAGGATGTTAGTCCTTTTTTTCCCCCTTACTGTCTGCTTTTTATTCCCATAACTTAGATATTAATGCTTTTTAAAAAAGGTTTTTAAAACAGTGTACTAGGGACGCCTTAGTGGGGTCAGTTCGTTGAGCATCTGCTTTCGGCTCAGGTCATGATCCCAGGGTCTTGGGATCGAGCCCCACATCGGGCTCCCTGCTCAGCAGGGAGCCTGTTTCTCCCTCTGCCTGCTGCTCTCCCTGCTTGTGTGCATGCTCTCTCTCTCTCCCTGACAAATAAATAAATAAAAATATTTAAAAAATAAAACCATGTAATACCACAGTGCCTTTCTATCGCAGTAACTAAGAACTGTTAGGGATCTAAAAGGAAATACAATAGGATATTGTATGAGATTTACCTGAAGGAGGTGGTAGTCTGCTTGGGGAGAGGAAAATAACATTATTTTAAGAAAAAGAATCACTACATCAAAAACTAATGGTGCATGGTGACTAACATAACATAATAAAACAAAATAAAATTAAAAAAAAGTGAAGTGCTGATATGACTGGTACTGAATGTGTTGTCCATATAGTATATGGTTAAAAAATGGAGAATGGAGCATTCAGGTACAGTTTTAGTGGAAAAAAAATCAGACTGGCCAATAAAAGGTGGTTAGTATTTGATTGGATTAGGAAAGAATGAGGTTTGAATGCAGGATGAAACAATTTGGGCAAAGGGAAAGATAATGATTTATGTACCAGACTCAAGGTATGATAAAGAAATTGGCCAGATAAAGAGTTGAAATTGGATGGGTGAGGTGTAGGTAAGGTGGGGCCAGCTTATGGAGAGCCATGAAAGGTAAATGGAGCATTTGGATTTAAAATAGTATTCACTATAAGTTCATGAATGGACCTGTTATATGATGAATGTAGGCTTTTGGAAAATTAGCCTGTTAGTAAAATGCAGGATGAGGGCATATAATAGGGTGATGGTTATGGAGTGAATCAAACACTGCAAGAAAATAAATGAGAGAACTCAATAACTGATGCTAGACTGTAGCTTTAAATAGGTAGGCAGTGAAAAATTTACCTAAATAGTGAAGCTTATTTACTCGTTAAAAGCTTTTCAGATACCTGCAAAGTACCAATTATTATGTTGGTTACTAAGGATAGATTGGTAAATAAGACTAGATTCCTGCTCCTAAGGAGTCTAATCAATGTACTGTAAGCAAGTAAATGTAATAAAAATTAATGGGTCCCATAATATAAATCTGTATAGACATCAAGGAAGGAATATTCAGTTCTTTCTTGGAAAAGCTGGAGATGGGGAATTGACGTTAGGAAGACTTGAACTGATGTTGAAAATAGAAGTGAGTAGCTGTTTGCATTGCTATGAGGGCAAAAGGTGAAGGCCCTTCAAGAGGAAGAGCAGGAAAAAAACATGTGCATCAAACAGCATGGCAAGTTTTAGGAGCCTCAAGTAGTTTAAAAATAATAGAGTAAAAGGAGATAGTGGTAGAGTAAGGGAGGGTACACATGGGGAAGAGATAAGAGACTGGAGAGACAGACGAGAATCAGATCATAGAAGTTAGAGTTTGGACAATGTGTTAATAGGCTGTTGGATCTATTGTAATGATTTTAAGAAAACCACCAACATCTCATTTTCATTTTAGAAAAATCACTTAGGGTATCAGTGTTCAGGATGGATTGGAGAAAGGAAAGTAGATGCAAAGATACTTGTTAGGAGGCTATTTTTATTTTTTTTTCAATTTTATTTTATTTTGCTATGTTAGTCACCATACAGTACATCATTAGTTTTTGATGTAGTGTTCCATGATTAGGATGCTATTTTTAATAGCATTTTATAGTCCAGATGAGAGAGGTATTGCAGGCCTGAAGTAAGGTGGCAGCAATGGGGATAGAGAAGTACCAAGCACAGTGTAGGTACTCAGTAAATGTTAACTTTGTTCCCTAGGCTTATATTTAGAATTTCACTTAACTTTGCCCACTGCTGTTTGGTTTTGATTTCCTTTAATAAGAATTTGAAAATTGGTCTTCTCTGAAATAGGTACAAGTGGGTGTTTTTGATATTCATAGTGAGGGATTTCTTAGTATTTGAACCTGCTCTTATTAAAGACATTTCAGAGTTGGTTCCTATTATTATAGTACAGTTGCAAACACCTTCCTTTTTTATACATCATGTTCAAGATGAAAGACTACTAAAAATGATATATTTTCATTTTCCCTTCAAATTGTTATTTAAATAATTAAATTGCATGCCTTTTAATTTTCATTGCCCTTTGATATTTCTTGAAGTGTTTATTTTCAACTTACTTGGTATGTGATTATTATATCTTTTTCTGCCTTATCACTTCCTCTTTAATTATTATATAACTCCTCCTCCTGTATTTCTGTTCTTGTTTACTTTCTTTTACTTCTCTTTTTTAAATTTTTTAAAAATTAGATTTAATATCTCAGACTTAATTTATTAACCACTTGACTGTTTTTCTTGTCTTTTTATCTTTGCAGCTCTTTAAAGGCAAGAACTATATCCTTTGCTCCTTTTCTTTCATCCATAGTGAATTATATAATGCTGGCACTTTTATATGGCCTTTTTTGAAATCCGAGTCGCCTTTATAGTGATATTTAACTGGACTTTTTATTGTTCCTTAATGATCCATATTATCATTGAAAGGCAGTGTCAGACTTAGTATTGCAAGTAGTAAAATTGAAATGAAGAGTGATCTGTCACAGCAGGTGTGTGAAAGGAAGAGAATTGGAGTTTTTAATTCGTGTCTTCAGTTCTGTACTGAATTAGCTATTTTAGTCAGCTCTGTTCTCCACTCC